ATTAAAAATATATTAAATATATTCTTAATTTATTCTGAAAGGATATAGGTTAAAATGCCCCACGGCATCACCACACAGCCCGCATATGTGTAGGGCCTGAGAGGAGTGGAAGTCCAAGAAATAAAAATGGGGGCGTGTACAGATAATCATTTTCGTGCTCGATAAAAAATAAAAAAAAAAAGAGGAAAAATATTACCACGTTTCGTACAAGCAGAGAAGGCTGCCATGTGTCAATTCCTGCTCGTTTTAAGATTCGTACAAGGGGTTAAGAACTGGTCCCCAAGAGAGAGAAAGGTGGGGTTTCGGTGATCTCTTTAGCCGGTAAACCATTGCCCTTCCACCGGCTGGTCAGGTTTTGTGGATAGATCATAAAAACAGGACACGAGGGGTTTAAGCACTTCCCCGTTTTTTCTCGGTGGTTTTTAATTTAAGGGGTTTTCTGTCTCCCTCTATTTTAGCCACACAGAAATTTCATTTTCCCATTCAACAAGAAGAGTATTTCTCAGAGAAACAGAGATTTTCGACTTCTCCTTTGATGGATCTGTTCCAATGAATTTTCCGCCGGAAATTCTTAATTAATATTCTCCGATCTCCATTTCTCCGGAATCTTGCAATTCTTTGGAGAATTCGCTTCTTCTTCTTCTTCTTCTTCTTCTTCTTCTTCTTTTGTAAATTCTTCTGTATAGTTTGAGTGGAGTTGTGTAGGGTTGAATCTGTGATCATTCTCTGAAAGGTGAGTTCATTGCGTCTATTTTTTCTTTCTTTTTTTTTAACTTCTGTTCCGTGTAAAGCTTTAGTTGCCTATTTTGCTTGATCTTTTCTTGCGTGATGTTAATCTCTTTTGGCTGAATTCTGAAAATCTTTGTGTGGTTTTCTCTCGCGATGTGATCGAGATCTGATCGCAATAGTTGGCTTGTGTTTGATGTTGTGGAATTTGATCTGAATTAGAGTTGTAAATATTCTGAATTTGAATTCTGTTTTCCGATTATGAATCTAATATCAGTTACTAATTAAGGAATTGAATAATCGAATTTGATTGTTCGGAATCAGTTTCGTGTTAATTTTGCAAATCCTTGTTTGACTTTGGAGTTTCAATTGCCTTTAAGTTATTGGTAATTGCTTTCTGTTCAACAGTGAATTCAAAATATATGGATTTTGCGTTTTTTAATCTCCGTAACTAAATGCTTCGCGATTGATACCTGATTGCTGAATTTGACCTGTTAGTTGTCAAATTGGTTTCATGATCCATAATTTGAGAATTATTGAAGAGGTAGCTGGGATCTTATATGAAATTTTGGTTTCCATTCTTTTTAACCTGATCATAGGGTTTAAGGGTCTTTTCCCCCTAATTTTCCATTTTCATGGGGTTTAAGCTTATAGATCTGCTTCGTTTCTAAGATAAATGCGTCCGAATTTGCAAAGTGGAAATGATTTCTGATTCGACTAAAGAAGACATTGCAATTAAACTGCAGTCTTATGGTTGACGAATTTTTGGTTGTTAGTATTATGATACAAGAGCAAAGTAGCTGGTTGGGGATCACACTGATACATGGTTTTGTTTTTGAATTTATTCACAGTGAGTTGAAGCCGGGAGCTGATGCTTACATGCCTGAGAGATGGTGTTTAAGAAGAGGTTAAGCTATGAATTTAATGGTTTCCATGTCCCTCATGTACCTAGAGCTCCTCGATCAAGTAGGGTATGTATTGCCTGAAATTTGGGCTGTCTGTTGCTTTCATTAATTTGCATTCAGGTTCAATTCTAATTATGAGTGATGGTTGTTGGTTCCAGAGGCGAGTTCTGCATAGGACGACAGTTGAGGATGGTCAATTAAGTGCATTTGAATTGCTAGCATCTTTGGCTGACAAGTTACTTCAGGAGAGTGAAAGTTCTGCCTCTAGTAATGCATCAGAAGGAAGTGACCACTCTGTAATCGGTAAAAATGTTGTCAAAAAGGAATGTGGGGATGAAGATAAACCTTTGAAAATAGAATGCCTTGATCATGTCAGCTGTGAAGTGAGTGCTTTTGGTTCAGAATTAGTTGCTGAAAGCAGTGATGATTTGAAGGAATTCCAAAATGTTGAAAATGATGCCATTTTCAAATGCACTCCTTTAAAAAAGTCTAGTTGCTCAGACAAAGTTACCAGTGATTTAAGGTCTTTCATTGGCAGAACTGCCAAAGTGGATAGGGGCTTTCCTTATATTGGGGGTTCTTGCAATGGTAAGTTGGAAAAAATTGAATTTGAACAAGAGGGACAGCTTAAGGGTTTGGAGGCTGGAACGTTGGCCCCGTCTAATAAAGGCATTGCAAAGGATCCATTGGAAATTTGTATGACATTTCCTGAATTCATTAATTCTGACAGAGATGTTAAATCGCCATCACGCAAGGACTTTGTTCTTAGCTCTTCCTTTTCAAGTTTTAGGAATGCTATTAAGTTAGGTAGTAGAGATGATGATGATGAAAACTTTAGTAGGTTCAATAAATTTAGCAACAGGTTTAAGGCCTCTAGGCCTCCAACACGAATCGGAGACCGAAGAATTCTGAAGTTATTGACATCCAAATACTGGAAAGTTGCTCCAAAGTTGAAGGATGTTGAAGTTTCTAGAGCTGGTGAGCATACTAATGGTTTTAGTATTTTCATTGGCCCCCTTTTGTCTGTGTGCACTCATTGTCAAATACTGTTCATCATCGCATTCAAGTTTTTTTTTAGTGTTCTTATGCTGAATTTCTTGTTTTGGACATTCACAGGTGGAGGAATGAAGCCTCTGTATCGCAAGCGGAAAACATGCTACAACCACAAAAAAGGTCGATATGATGTATTTTATAAGAAGAAGAAGTTCTGTGACTGGCACTCAGCAGTGACTTCTGATGGAGGGGTCAGCAGTGAAAGTGTTTCCAACTCACCTGAGAAGGTCTTAAATGGAGACAAGAAGGATTCAGCTGTAATTTTGAATGGAGGTGCTTGCCTACTTTGTTATGTGACACCCTTTTTTTCATAATTTAGCAATTTAGAGATTCAGACTGTTGAGTAGTTTCTCTAAAATCTTTTGCTTTTTCTATGCAGCAAACAGGGTATTATCACCATTTATTGGTCAGCAACCATCCCATAATTCTAGGGATTCTCATGGTATGAGAGTTTTTAATGAATTGATGGAAATTGAGTCTAGTAGTTGCATTTATTCTGACATGGACATATTGTGTTCTTTTGTACAGTGAAGTTCAGTATTAAGTCCCTCAGGATTCCTGAAATTTTTATTGAGGTTTCAGAAACTGCAACAGTTGGTTCATTAAAGGTACTAAATCACTGACTTCCTTTTATTGTAACAAATATATCTTTTACTTTAGCAATTATGGCCAAGCTCCTAATTTATTTTTTAAATTACTGGTGTTACGAAATTATGAGTAGAAGACGGTGATGGAGGCAGTGACTGCTTTACTTGGAGGTGGATTACGAGTTGGGGTACTTCTTCAAGGAAAGAAGGTTAGGGATGATAGCAGAATGCTATCACAGTCTGGGATTTCCTGCAAGGACAACCTGGATGCTCTGGGTTTTACTTTGGAGCCCAGCACCGTAAAATCTCCTCTACCTGTGTGCTCTGAAGATTCTCCACTTCCGTTGTCTCATGATGCAGCTGAAAATGTAATAAGGTAATTTTGATGTGTTCATTAAAGATACTAACCCAGAATTATAATGTACATGCCTAATATCATTTACTTGATTATTGTTTGTTTTACTGTATGAAAGTAATGCTTAATATTAATAATGCCATCTCCATCTCAAGTTTGTAACTAATAATGGGTGCTTTGTTTCTAGGTCCCTAGCCACTCCTGCTGTAGATTCTGGGATTTCTGATGCTGTGCCTGACCCAACCTCACTAACCAATTCAGGAAACCCTATTGATCATAATCATGATCCCGTTTCCTCACATACTGACATACTTACTCACCCAAATCTTCCAGAATCAAAAGCTCTTGTTCCAGTTCCAGCAGTGAAAGCTGAGGCACTTGCTGTGATTCCTTTGAACCAGAAGCCTAAGAAATCTGAGCTTGCACAACGCCGTACCAGAAGGCCATTCTCTGTGACGGAAGTTGAAGCACTCGTTGAGGCAGTCGAGGAACTTGGCACTGGAAGGTATTATAGTCTATGCTGCTACTATGATCATGCTTTTCCACTCGTTCTCCCCTTTGCTTTTTTCTTTAAAATTTTTGTTTCCCTTGATTACTACTCATCATAAAGGAGGGAAAAACCATCT